GAACTTGATGTCTTCTTATAAGAGAATTAAGTAAAAATTGTACATTTGGCTTCTTCAAAGTTGCCTTGCTGCAGTTACTTCGAAGAACACCACAATATAATAGTTTTATTTTTTTTTTTTAATCTCAGATAATAGTTATTTTACTAGAAGGCGTCTTGGAATTAGTTTTGGACTTTCCATCATAAAACACCTTGTCAATCCCACGAGTTAGCAGATAATTGTTTGTCATCCAGGTTGCTTACATTAATATCTAGAGTTCTGGCCCTGATAGCCAAAAGCACATAATCTTCTGACTAAAATGTTGGATTTCCTTCAAGTTGGATCCAAGGTTATCTAAGTGTCCCAGAATAAATTATGCTCAAATGTATTCTCAAGTATTTCTGGGTAGCCTCTCAGGATCCTTAAATATGACATATTTGAATATGAGAATATTGATAAATAAATTGATCTTTTCAAATTTTATCCTGTATCATATACTGGTAGACAATTTATTTGAAGAAAGAAAGGTTCATTTATTAATACATGTATAGTAGTTAGAGATGGCTTCACAAATCTGTTGAATGATATTGACTACATATCTTCTTTATCAACAGATAACAAGGTTTTTGTAGATTTAAGCTAAACTAATGAAAGGGAAATGGTTGGAGGATGGGGAACTTCAATATTGATTTATTATATCAATTTCCTTCATCTTCAACAATTCAGACTCTAGTTTGAGAGATAACAATGTCACACTCTTATCTCTAGCACTCCCTTCATACTTCTCTTTAAGTGCTTCCTAGGCTTCTTGTGCATTCTCATAAGACACAATTTTAGGGAAAATATCATTTGTCATTGTACCATGCATAAAAGAAAGTGCTCTATATGTACCTGCCTCATACTCTGCATTTCTTTTCATTTGTGCCATTGTTGGGTTGTCTTGTGGAAAAGGAAGTTGGAAACCATGCTCAATGACTTCAAAGCTTCCATTCTAACAGCCCGGAATTCATAATTCTCTCCAATGATCACTAGACGAAAAGAAAATGAATTTGTTGAAGAAGAAGACATTCTGGAATGCTGTTGAAGAACAATAATCTTTCCCTCACTTGTCACTTGTGTTTCACTCTCTCACACCACTCAAAAGTTTCTCACAGATCCCCCAAGAATTGTAAGCCCTGATACCAATTTGTGAAAGTAAAGATGGGATACAAGTAGAAATAGACATAAACTTAAGATTTAACTTGAATTGACATGAACACTAACCACGACATTGAAAGAACATATATTGGGTTTTCCTTATATAACTCAGCAAACATAAACATACATATCAGTTTTTCAAAGAAAAGTAAACATAAAGAAGTTACTAACTGCAAAAATAAACTGCTACACCACTAAGCAAGATAAACTGTGTAACTGCCACCACATTAGTTTAATAGACTTGATCTCATTCATTAACAGGGGGAATGGTTGGAGGACGAGGAACTTCAACAGCTCCTTCTAGCATCTGTGAGACTCTCTTCATAGTGGGCCTTAAAGACGGATCATCTTGAATGCACCAAATGGCAATCATCACAAACCTCTCTACCCTATTAATATCTTGAATAGCCTCTTCATCCTCCTGAACTAGCAGGTACAGTCTCCCTTCTTCATAGCAATCATATGCCCAGTCAGCCAGTATCATTTGGTTTTCATCCCCTGAATCTTGCTCAAAACTCTTCCTACAACAAATAAGCTCTAGCAGCAGAATCCCAAAGCTGTAAACGTCAACCTTGATTGTGACAGGCCTGTTCTTGAACCACTCAGGGGCAACATATCCTTTTGTTCCCCTAATTGCTGTAACAGTTCGAGTCTGGCCTGTCTTCAAAAGTTTTGCTAATCCAAAGTCAGAAATTCTTGCTGTCAAGGAGTCATCTAGTAGAATATTTTGAGGCTTGATGTCACAATGTATGATCTGATTGCTGCACTCCTCATGTAAATAAACAAGCCCTCTTGCAGTTCCAAAAGCAATTTGAGCTCTTTGATACCAACTGGGCCTTAAATTTCCAAAAAGGTAAGATGCTAAAGATCCATTACTCATGTATTCATACACCAAAAGCCGATGTTGTCCCTCATTGCAGAATCCTAGCAGCTGAACTAGATTCTTGTGATTTGTCTTGCTA